CCCCCCCCGGGCCTGTAGCCCTCTACTGTCTGGCTGATGACTTGTCACCAGAGCCGATCCCGTTAATGAGAGGACTATAACGTCAGCGGTGTCAGCCTCCTGTGCCCCTCCAACCACACCATCACCACCTCCACAAATCTTTAATCGGCCTCTCTCTTTTTCTCTCGCCACAAAGTCTTTTGTTTCTCTTTCTCCGCACTCTGCCCTTTTCTTGGTCGCGAGCCCATGCACACACACACACACACACTCTCTCGCTGGCATATCAAACGCATTTGATTAGGAAGGAGAATAACATAATAAATACCGGGAGGCGGTGTACGATAATTAGCAGTATGTTCGGAGTATAATAAGAATAAAGGGAGGAGAGAGAGAGAGAGAGGGAGAGACACGATGACGACGAGGAGGAGGAAGAGGTGAAGAAGAAGGAAAAGGATATGAGTGGAACTTTGAGTGGCCACCGTTTCGATAAGATCTTCCCGAACAGCAACCTAACTTTTTTTTATCTCTATTATATCTTTCCCAAGCCATCCGAACACAGAGAGAAGAGACGACGAATGGAGAGAGAGTGGAAAGGGGGGGCTCAAAGATGAAAAGAAGTAGGGGAGAAAGAGTGCAGAATAAGCAAAAATGAGAAAGAATAGCTGTAGCAAAACAACAAAAATGACCAAAAACGAAGAAGCTGAGAAGAGGAGGAAATTTCGCACATATTTAAATAAGAGCCGCAAGAGGACAAAACAAAGCAGCCGGAGGAAGTGCGTGGTTATTGAATGGAGTCGCGCCAAGCCAGGCTCTGTTCGCGACGCTACTGCAGCACTAAGCACCGGTTGTAAATGAGCGCGATTAACCCCATAGGAGCTGGGCTAGCGGGGGCCAGGCCTTTCAGTGATGGAGCCAGTCGATTAATTTTGTAATGTATTCTACGGTGTTCTTCCCCTCCCCCCCTCTCTCTCTCTTTCTCTCTCTCTCTCTCAATCCCTCTCCCCCCTCTCCGCTCTTCTCAAACACGCAGGAGCCTTCAGGGCAGCAGCAGCAGACCCTCGGGCGCATTTTATTAGCCTATCCGCCTTTTGGGAAAAGCTCGTAGCGGTGGGGCGTGGCGGGGCGGGGCAGGGAGGCTTGTTCTGTCTAGCCCAGCTGATGGTCAGCAGCCGAGCCACGCCACGCCGCGTCGCACCACGCCCCTACCTCATTGAATATTCAAATTTCTCTCTTCGGCGTGTCTCTTGCAAGAAGTTTTCATTTTCGTGTCGGTCCTCTAAGAACGATATGTCTCCGTATCTCAATTTACTTTGTGAAGTGCAGACAAATATGGAAGCGAGGATCCCAAATTTATCGTGATTCGGGATCTCAGTCCCATATGAGGAATTTTCTTTACAACCGAATAACCAGGCCTCAAGTCGTGAGGATGAATCAACCTTAAACTCCGACACGAAGTGGTACTCTGTAATTCCCCACCACCACACACGGGCACCATACGGGTTCGCCCGTTGCAGGATTAGACGTCGCGGTTCAAAAAGCGTGTTTGATTCACACTGACGAAACTGACACCCCGGCTCCGAATACGGCCCCTCCGGAGCAATGCAAACGCCGCACGGCGTTTTCCGCCTCCTGACGTCGTGAAATGGGATTTTTGCCGGGGCGAAGTTGGCAGCACTGTTAGCGTCGTGGGGTCCGCATTAGAGCCGCGTCAGTCAGTCAGAGAGGCCTGCCAACCACCGGGAGGGATAGACAGAGAGGAACAGGAGGATGCAAATGGAGGAGAAAATAAACACGCATTTGGAGCGCGCGATAGGCAGTGTGTGTGTGTGGTGTGTACGCGTGTGTGCAGGTGATCCGCGTGTTACTGGCCGGCGTTACTTTTTGGCGCGGAGCGTCACGTCCGGCCACCCGCACGCAATGCCAACTTCTAATTCGACCCGCGCATTGCAAATTTCCCTCCGCGAGCGCCCGTCTGCGATACCGCACACAAGACTGAATTACCGGGTCAAACGAAACGCGCAAAAATAATATACCGTAGCATGTCTTTTCTACCCGCCGGTTTCGTTTTCCCTCGCCTTTTGATTATCATTTCCGCGAATACACACCACGCAGCAGGAAAGACAATAATATATAACAAAATAAAAATCCACACAACGCGTCCATTTCCGTTTTACTGACCGATAGGCCATAGCGGTCCGAGCGCCGGTGGGTCGGTCCTGCCGGTGCCGGGGACCGGTCCCGTCCACAGAGATGGGTGTAGGGTTTCTGGGAAGGCTCCACGGACGGGCCATGGGCCATTCAGCCGCACTCAGCTCGCGATATGCCCCGTCCCCTTCCTCTCCAGCCGTCCCACCCGCCCCTATATCGCCGCGATATCTCGAGATGAGTCAGTGCGAATTTCGAGGAGGAGCAGCAGCAGCTGCAGCGGCGGCGGCGGCGGCGGCGGCGGTGGCGGACCCGAGAGTCGTGGACGATGACGTCGTCCTGGCGCACGGCCAAAAGAGCCGTGTGGACGACAGGAAACGCCCCGGCCGGCCGTCAACGTTACCGCCGCAGAGATACGGCGCCGACCCCCCACTAAACACGGCAACTTCATTGTTTCGGGACTCAAGGGCGTTATTTTTCGCTCTCTCATACAAGTCGGGTAAATAATATTTACTCGCTCAAATCCGCATCAGACTCGCAAGCGTCCAATTAGCGCCAATAACGCGTAGCTCTGCAGCTGCGCTAGCGCGTCGCGTCCCCGGGGTTGGGCGTGCCCCCGACAGAGCGCGGCACACGTCCCGGGGCCGGCGCGCCGAGCGAGAGAGCCTCTAGAAATGTTAACAAGCGAAACAGAGAAATGACAGGCGAGCAGCGGCGGGTACATGCGGCTGTATACCCCCAACCCCATGTACCTCTCGCCTGCGTGTCACTTGTGCCTTGCACCTGCCGCCTTGCTCCAGCTCGTCAGCAGAGCGCTTGCCCCCTGCTGCCACTGCCGGCTGCCGGCCGTGGGATAAAGGCACCGAGCGGAGAATATTGGGGGATTTACCTCATTTCCCATCAAGAGACTACAGAGAGGGGACACGAAGCTCTGGGGCCCGCGGCTGCCGCCTTGCCGCACTGGAATACATCTAGCGGTCTCAATATTCGTCGCACAGTTCTCGTTTCGGTCCCGAATGGTCCGGAAGGGTTCAACGGATCGAACCGTACCCATATAAAAGTCGAAATGCTCACCAGATTTGAACAGCGAGCGCCCGAGTGCGCAGAGCGCCTCTGTAGCCATCCGCTGCGACGATCGGCCGGCGCCTTCTAGCACG